GCGTTGGGAACAGGGCGCAGCAGTGGTGGAGGCTTCGCTGTAAGAAGCGGTGCGAAGGCTGCTCTGGGAAGCGGAGCCCATGTGATTCTTCAACATGCTTCAGGAAGGCTGCTAAATATAGCACTTGCTTTGGAGATCCCATGTTGAAAATTGATGTTGTATGCACAGGTAACACATCTGTCAGGAAAAATTCACAGGACAATATCCAAATTTGTGGTCCCAGTGATTGCATTCGTCTTGCTTCTGAAGAACAAATCCAATTGAGAGGAAAAGACTAAACGGTTCTTAAGATAGCCGTATTCAATGCAGCTCGTGATGGCAAGCTGCGACTCCTCACCAAGTTGCTGGCAAATAAAACTAAAGAAGAGGTGGCCTTGCTGATGTCAGAAAAAACAAATGGTGCCACCCCCCTTCTAAGGACAGCCCGATATGGGCATCTTGACATGGTAGAACATCTACTAGAACATTGCAGTGCTTCTATAGAAATTGGTGGTTCTGTGAATTTTGATGGTGAGACTATTGAAGGTGCATCACCACTATGGGCAGCATCAGCAGCTGGTCATTTGAAAGCGGTCCAGTCTTTATTAAATCATGGAGCATCTGTCAACAACACCACTTTGACCACTCAACACCTCTCAGAGCTGCCTACTTTGATCATCTAGAAATTGTAAAGTACCTTGTGGAACACAAAGCAGACTTGGAAGTGTCTAACCGTCATGGACATACATGTCTTATGATAACTTGCTACAAAGGACACAAAGAAATTGCTCAGTATTTACTTGAGACAGGGGCTGAGGTAAATAGAAAAAGTGTCAAAGGAAATACAGCATTGCATGACTCTGCAGAATCTGGTAGCCTGGAGATCATGAAGATGCTTCTGAAGTATTGTGCAAAGATGGAAAAAGATGGTTATGGAATGACTCCCCTTCTCTCTGCAAGTGTTATAGGCCACACAAACATAGCTGACTTTTTGACTCAGCATGTTGAGGCAAGCAAAGCAGAATGCATCAATGCCCTGGAACTCTTAGGAGCCACATTTGTGAACAAAAGGAGAGATTTGCTTGGTGCTTTTCTTCCCTTCATCTTTCTTCTTATTACTCTTAATTTGTTAAACTCAACCGTTCTAAAATCCATAGTTTGTGTTTGACCATTTTTCACCAAACTTTTGATTAGGGATAGTGTCCAGTAAACCTCTGTTCATTCCTGATATACAATGCTAGTTACACCACCTAAACCCAACACTCTTGTGTTCCCTGTCCTCTGAAATAAGATGTATCCAATATTGCACTGGTTGGTTTCATCCCATAATATTTCTAAAATTCCTATTATATCAAACTTGCCTACTGTATGTGCCTGATGATATTCAACTCCATTTCCTTGTTAGCCATACAGTCATATAAAAAAGTCAGTACAACCCATATAAAGTTTTTTTCTTTTTTAACATATATGGACATATCAATATTTTATCTTCATTCAAACAGTATATAAAGATAAAGATAATGTAACTGAACAAAAAAACCTATGAAAAATTGAGTTTGCAATCATTGATTTAGCAAAAAATTAACACATATGCCATTTCCTTCTGTGGAAAAAGTAAATACACTCTTGGCTCTAATACCTGCTATTGCCCCTTTTGGCAGAAAGAACCTCAAGTAGGCATTTCTTATAACTGTCTACCAGTCTCTGACATTGACTGGGAGTCATTTTTTTCCCACTCCTCCATGCAGAACAAGAAGCTAAGATTGAACCAAATGAGAAATTAATTGTAGCTTTAATTGCTCAGGACATAATAGTAACTAAAGAGTTTGCCTCAGACTGCATCCAAGGTCAAGAAAGTAGGAAAAACATTTATTTGCTTGGATTATCTTATCTACAGCATAAAGATGCTATCAAAATGTTTCTTTAACCTGTTTAATTGTGCTAAATCTACAAAGGCAGCCTATCATTTGTCATCTAGATATAAGTCTTCACAATCTATTGACTCTGATAATCATGACAAAATATTACAGGCAGCTGGAATGACAACACATTTGGAATATGAGGGAAAGCAACTTATGTTGTTTCCAGATATACCTCAGAGTGGTATAGAAGTGCAGAGAAATCTACCAAGCTTTTTAAAATATAATAAAATTTCCATAGATTTTAGAAATATATTTAGGTGAACTGACTGAACCTTTAACCTTATAGGGAATATATGATACAATCGATACGTGAAATCTGGAAAAGAAAGGAGCTCCCATACTTATTCATATTCTATCCTTATACACTGATGTACGTGAATCTGCAGTGTTGGTATTACTGGATAAAAAAAAAGCTTTTGATATATTCAAATCAAATTTTTGGTTCATGTGTTATAGAAGTTTAGATTTCCTATGGCGCTTATGTCTTGGATTGTAATTTACTATTTCAATCCTTCTGCTTGTTTAATTACTAATGAAATCATTTCATGAGTTATTAAAATGCAATGTTGAACTCTCAAGGATGCCCCTTATTATCTTTAATTTTTAATTTGGTATTGGAAACTCTAGCATGCCTAATAATACAAAATCATGAAATCAAAGGAATCTCTTAAGCTAAATTTGAATACAAAATGTTCTTACATGCGGATTAGATGTTAGGGTTTTTTTAAATGACTATCAATACTATTTACCTAAATTTTCAGAAATTGCAATTATATGGTAGACATTCTGCGTATACCATAAACATGAATAAATCAAATATATCATTTGGCAAGACAATTCCAAATGATGTAAGGAAAATATAGGTTTTGTATTTTTTCCAGAAGTTATTAAATATCTGAGGATTATTATCCCCAGGAAAATATCCAATGTAGTCAATATGAATGTTCCAAAATTTATCTCTCAGATGAAAGAGGATACTAAGAGATAGATGAAATATCTTTACATTTGTGAGAAAGAATATAGTGAAAATGAATCAATATATATTTTGAACACAATGTCTACGTGTCCAATATTTTAACAGATTGTAAGCTAAAGTTTTTATGGAAGGAACAAATACCCAGGGTCTCTAATCATGAATTGCAATGAGAACAATATTGAATACGTGCCATTATATGTTCAGCTTAAGAATTATTCTCTAGTACCCTAACAATTTTGGCACATTCTTGGTACTAATTATAGGCGTAATTTGATTACTTTTCCAGCACTGACAATAGTTAGATGTATTTGGGCCTTACTGGGTAGAAAATTTAAATTTGATTTTTTTTCTCATGAGAAAGTGACAGATTAAAAATGGCTGCCAATACATCTTTTTGGAAACACAGGGTCATAATGAAACCTGTTAAAAACATTATTAAGTAATAATAATTTTATAATTTTTGAAAGTCTACAAAAGGAATATAATTTTAAAAAGCTGAATGGCAATACATTCTGTTAAAACCCTTGTTAACTATATTGTTTGATCCTAATGTCCTCATGACCTCTGAAACACAGAGGCATTGAGTTTGTTAGATAAGGCCTTTATTATAATAAATATAATAAGCAAAACTATTATCAGAAATTAATAATCAAAAATAAATTTGGACAAATACAAGATATTTGCAATAGAGAACTAGAATATCCCACATTGTCCAATCGATGACTTCCCATTTTAAGTATGCATGTATATATGTGCATATATATATATACACACAAACACACACACGTGTATGTGTGTGTGTGTGTATGATTTTATTAAAAATGTTAAACATAAGAATAAGACTAATACAAACTAAAATAGAGCAAAACACAAAAGAGAAAAAGGAAAAAATGACAGAAGAACTACAGGTACAAAAAGTGTAGCCAAAAAAAAAAACAGAAAAGAAAGAAAAAAGATATAAAGAAGTGGTTTCCAATCTTCTTTACAGCAGTTGTAAGTACAATTATAAATTGATCTCTCTCTCTAAAGTTACATCATGACTCTCTTCTTTCTATAATATACCCTATCTAATCATCAAAATCATAAATTATAAGTTTATGTTTTTTTTTATGCAAAAAGTCCATAAGGGGTTTCCAGTCACCAATAAATGTAGATATTGTCTTTTCTCTAATCAAAGAAGACAGTTTGGCCGTTTCAGCAAGTTCTGTCTGGAATATTAGATATATTTCTTATGACTTAAAAACTTGGTTAGTTCAACAAAAAAAATTCTTTATGGTCTATTGGACCCAGTTGGTTTTCATTACTTCTATGCTAGAGATTTATAAAATTAGATGGAACTTGTAATTCCTGATTGATTATACATTAATGCTACAGTGAAGCAGATTCCTTGAAGGCAGACTTTTAAAATTTTAATGTTTTTTTAAATTATATTCTGGTACTGTAGTATGGAATCTTCCAATCTATGAAGAACTTTGACTATACCACACTTGGACTATGACAAAAACAGTTATCATGTTTTCATGGAAGAATAGTCATATCCCACACACCAAAGGTTGGCTTAATAAAATTTGTCAACTCTCAGTCTTCAAATCAGCTTTGTAATGATGGAGAGGCAAGATGGACAATGTGGTTTTCATATGGTCTAAGTTCTATTCACTACTTAAAAACTGAGTCCCAATGTTGAAAAAAACTGAAAGAAGTTCAATTTTAACTGTATCAGTCTGATTCTGTTATCTCACACAATCTTTAAATGGGCATATATATTATAGATAGATAATGAAGGTGCTTTGTTTTTTTGAGTATTTAACTTCATTACAGTAGGTTTCTTTTCTATTTGCTGGGGGGGGCTCTTTGATTTTGTTTTTTCTCTAGGGCTTTAGTATTTTCCTCTTTACCATATAGCTTTTTTATACAGCAGATTAAAGTACAGTTTTTCATATATTAATAATATAGTTATACTGTTATACTAATATTTCATTAATTCATATATATTACCACAAACTACTAAGTTTTTTTGAACAAGAAATGCTAATCGTGTTTTTGATTTTAACAAAATGAAAATGCATTTTAAAAATCCTCGGTCACTTGCTGCTACAAGTTTGAGAGACTTTTGATCAACTCACTGACATGTATTCTGACCTCTCACAGGCACTGGGGAAGTTCCTATAGAAGCAATGAGTATAAAAATTATTCTCCTTTTAAGTGATCAGTATATAGGTATTACAGTTAAAGACAAGTTGCTTAAAAGGTGCTTAGGTGACTAAGTACACAAACGTATTGTCGAAGGCTTTCACGGCCGGAATACGATGGCTG